TCCCAATAAAAAGTACTGCTTAACTTTTCAAGATTGGGGCAGAGGTTGTGCAGGAGAGAAAGTTGAATTCAGCTCCAACACTATTTGATGAGGAGCTACAGAGTAGTTTTATTGGTTCTAACAGGAGGAACTCAAGTGTGGTTCACTTAACTAATAATGTGTTTTCAATATAACCTTCAACGGGTTTTGGAGAGGCATTTCTATAAGCAAGCAACTGGACTTTATTTTAAAGTGATGAGGAGTTCACTAGACTTTGAAGCAAATAACGAATCTGCCACTTCATTCATCTAGTGTTTATTGATTCCTATACTTAAATGTACTTCACAGAATGATTAGAATATAAAAATATTCTGGAGTCACTATCAAGAATAGAGCATAGGTAATACCTTTGTATCTAGGAAAAGGAGAGAAAAAACACTGTTGTATGAAATACTTAGTGGTTATTTGACAGCAGCAATATGGTGTGAGGTCATGGAAATTTGGGGGTGTTTTCAAAGCATAGTAGTGTGTGTTTTAGGGGTTATCTTACAACAATCTTCTAGAATGGCTATGTTTTAATGACTTTAAGGATCATGAAGAGTAGATTTAATTAACTTACCCCAGTTCATGCATCTTAGAGACAAAAGGCAAGGTGTTGAATCTAGACCCTCATTGAATACAGAACCCATTATAATTAAAGTCAGGTTTGCTATGTTAAATCAACCTGCATTGACATCACCATCTTATTTAAGGCTCTATCAGTCTTTTTAGCGAGATCTGTAAGTATCTGGGGTTTTTTTTGGTGCAAAGTATATTGCTTCTAACTGAAATGGAAAAAAATGAATGCTGAAACTCAAGGTAATACAAACATAATTTACATTTGACATCTAAAAAAATTGTGATCAATTTACCTTTCCAATCATTTGTATATTCACAGTTTATTCATATTGTGTGATCACTGCCAACATTCATATGTGAAACTTTTTTTCATGGCTTTCGATTTTGAAATACATACATTTATTTATCCAGCAACACCCACTGAAATTCTAGTCATGCCTCTGCTCTGAACCAGGCCTGATGCTGGATAAAACTGATCCATATGTGTTTCCTGCATTATTGAACACATTAAAGATAACATTTGTGTGGTAGAATTAAAAATGAACAGGGATTTTTAAAAAGTATTTGCATGCTGGGGGACTGGAGCGATAGCACAGCAGTAGGGCGTTTGCCTTGCATGAAGCCAACTTGGCCGATGTGAGTTTGATTCTTCCGCCCCTATTGGAGAGCCCGGCAAGCTACTGAGAATATCTCGCCCGCACGGCAAAGCCTGGCAAGCTCCCCGTGACGTATTCGATATGCCAAACACAGTAACAACAAGTCTCACAACCAACGGAGATGTTACTGGGCCCGCTCGAGCAAATCGATAACAACGGGAGGACAGTGCAGTGCACTGCATTTGCATATGCCATTTCTATGGAGACTACAAACCTCAAAATAGGAGGCAAAATCCTGCTGGCTATTAGCATGCTGAAGTAGAGTTCATGATCAAAAGTTGAATAAGTGTGTGTATACACCTGTGCATGCATATTCATGTGTGCTTTGTACGTGCAGACTCATGCCAGTGTGGACATCTGGAAGTTAGGAGGAAGGAGTTGGGGGAGGGAGGGAAACTAAATTGGTCTGTGTTAAAATTAGTGGAGAAAATGAGGCCCAGGAGAGGCTTCGGGGCCAAGGGACTGGAACCCAGGGAGCAGCAGAATCGTTGAGAGAAAAGAAGATAGAGTCGGAGAATGGGGATTTGGGTCATAAAATTCTTTGTGTTGTGTGATGTCACTCTGCCTCCCTCTGCAGCCTCTATGGTACAGCAATTCCTGCCCTTTCTCTCTACTTGTGGAGGGTACTTTCATGGGGAGTTGCATGGGAAGAAAAGTTAACACTAAACCTTAGTTCATTATTGGCTCCTGAATGGACTAAGTGACTAAGAAAGTCATAAGAATCAGAGCGTATAAATAATAAACACACCATGTCCAGTCTGTGTGTGCTTGTGCATAAAAAATTATCTTGCAATTCCACACACACACACACGAGTCCCATAAACTGTTCTTAGGGCCAAATGTATTCTTCCTCTGCCAGATTCTTTGAGAAGAGACTCTGACAACAAAACACACAAACTTGAACTCTTTTGGGGAAGCAGGGACTCAGGTGGAGTGATGTGGGTGAGGAGGCAGAGAAAAGGGAGGTTCGTGACTGAGTATTACAGCAACTGGTTCTGGAGTGATACTTCCCTCTGTTAGACAAATCGTTGCTATTAAGGGCTGAACCAGGAACAATATTTTCTTTTAAAAAATCCGGTAGTAAAATAATAAAACAAAATAATTTTTAAAAACAGGTACATCTTGGGGCTGGAGCAATAGCACAGTGGGTAGGGTGTTTGCCTTGCCCACGGCCAACCCAGGTTCGATTCCCAGCATCCCATCTGACCCCCCCCCCCCCAGCACTGCCAGGAGTAATTCCTGAGTGCATGAACCAGGAGTAACCCCTGTGCATTGCTGTGTGTGACCCAAAAAGAAAAAAAAAATCAGGTACATCCCTCCTTCAAAAATAACAAAGATGGGCTAGAGAACCATTACAGGGGTGAGGTGATTTCCTTAATCCACACTGCATATGGTCCCCTGAGCAATACCAGGAGACATTCCTGAATAACATAGTCAGGAGGAAACCCTGAGTGTCATTTGTCATGGCCCTAAAAACGAAAGTAATTAAATGAAATAAGCAAAATATATAATTAGTTAAAAAAAATTTAAAGATATATGGAGAAAATGGTTCATATCCCAGAGTGCAATGGTCCAGCCTGGATGGAAGAGCATGGGCAAGGAGTGAGACTTTCCTGGATCAACTCACGATAGCTGCATTGGCTGCAGGCTGCAGGGTTTATTCCTCAGCCTTTGTCCAGGGATCTCTACTTGTAAAGCGGCTCCTAACTGTGGAGGCACCACCTTGTTCTTCAGCCTATAATTCGGTCACATGTGCAATCTGCAGTCTCTAATGAGTTTCTGTGACTCCCTTCAACCCCCAGAGGAAGACCATTCAGAGTTGCATACATAAAGGAAGCTATGGGATCTATTTGTGGAAACTTCCAAGGTCAAAACTTCCAGTACATTTTTTCATATATCCTTTGGGCATCTGTATGTTTTCGTTGAGTAAATTTCTATTCATCTATTCTCCTCATTTTTGGATGTTGTTGATTTTGTTTATCTTGTAGCATTCTCCAAGGGTTTTATGTATCTCAGATATTGACCTATTATCCCATGAGTGGTAGGCAAAATATTCTATCCCAGGCTATGGGTTGTATTCTTGTTCTGCCCATTGGTACCTTTGTCATGCAAAAACTTCTTATCTGATGTAGTCACATTTGTTTATTTTCGTTTATTTTTATTTTTTCCTTTTGAATCACATTTGTTTATTTTTATTTTTTCCTTTTGAATCATTGATGATACCTCTAGCTTCAAAGCCATGAAGTCTTCTCTGCATGTTTTCCTCAGTGAATTTTGTGGATTCAGGTCTCTGATATCCAGGTTATTAATTCATTTTCATCTTTTTTTTGTGCATGGTTTAAGAAAGGGATCTGAGTTCACTTTTTGCCCGTGACTGACCAGTTTTCCCAGACAAAGAGTTGTCACTGGGCCAGGACTGAGGCCAGACTCAGAGGGTTCAAGGCCTTGGAAAGTCCTTGAAAATCCAATCGCCATCAGTGGGGGCTTGTTAGGGAAGTGAGAAATCTAAAAACAAAATCTAAAAGCTTCTTAACCCATAACAAATTGAGGTGCTTAGAGAGACTTGCGTTTTCAACCACTCTCAGAAGATGGGAGAGAAGGGTGGGGGCTAAGAAACATGAGATAAGTGATAATAAGTAAAAAGCTACATTTTCTGTACTCAGAAAGTATAGAGTACATGGAAGAAGCAAAAGGTCGTGTACTCACCCCCTAGTCTCTTCACTTACTTCCTACCTAGCACAAAGTCAAGATCTTAGTGGTATGTTTAGCTTAACTTGCCAGAATAATTCATAAGCTAAATGTTCTGTGGTCTAGACAGAGCTAAATCCAAGACCACCCTAATAGTGGGAGATTTTTGTATCGTTTATTTTCTCTTCTTCCTATTTGTAATAAGCACAGTTTACCTAAGAGTCAAATAATTTTCTTACTCCTGGGTATAGCTTAAAATTCCTTTTTAACAAAATGGATTTCAATTTTATTTCCAAAGAGCAGATATTGAGTCAGTATGTTTTCTTCCCCAGGTTGTTGCTTTTATTATACTCAGTTGTTTTTCTTCACTGCAGGATTAACCCTTGCAGGGTTCTCCTGGCCATCACATGATACATGAATGTGTGCTCAGAAAGTCCTCTATATAGTACTTGGAAGCTAGCAATTGGCCAGTGGATTTTTTCCTTTATGAAGACTCTTTCAGATATGAATAAGCCAATTGTGACTATTTATTACAACATAGTACAAATTGGAAAAGTACACATTTGTTTCTCTAATATTACCCGCAGGCTGGAGCAACAGCACAGCAGGTAGGGCATCCGCCTCACATGTGGCCGACCCGGGTTTGATTCCTCCACCCCTCTCAGAGAGCCCAGCAGAAAGTATCCCACCCCCACGGCAAAGCCTGGAAAGCTACCTGTGACGTATTCAATATGTCAAAATCAGTAACAACAAGTCTCACAATGGAGATGTTACTGGTGCCTGCTCGAGCAAATCAATGAACAATGGGAGGACAGTGCTACACAGTGCATTATTACCCGCAGTCCACAAAAATACTAGGGTCAGAGGGAGAGTGAAGCAGTTAAGGCATTCATCTTGCATGCAGCTGACCCTGGTTCTATTCCTGGCACTGTATATGTTCCTTTGAGCACTTCCAGGAGTGATTCTTGAACACAGAGCCAGAAGCAAGACCTGAGCACCACGAGGTTTGGCCCCCACCCCATCTTCCCCTTAAAAATAACCCTTAAAAATAACACAAAGTATAACTCTGAATTTTATTAGAGAACATATCTAAAATACAATATTTATTAAGTTATGATATATTATTTAAATGGAAATATACTCTGTATCACAACTATAAGTAAAACAATTTTTACAGATAACACTTAATTTATATCTCTGTAATTCAAAAATCACTAAAATACAGCATAATTCATATTTAAGGTAACATTGCTACAAATATATAAGAATTTATAATTTTATTTCTTTAATATAACATCTTAGGCTCATAACATTTCTTTGATCAGATTTACATTACATTGCTTCACGTCTATTTTACCTGATTTACGTTATGCGGCTTGACTTATCTTGTGATGCATAATTGCACTCAATCATTCTACTTTCCTAAGTTTTAACGAAGCATTTTAGTGAACAGTTGTAAATGCTCATCCCTACGCAGGCTGTGACCAAAGTCAAGATACTTTTACCTATTTATTTTATTCTATTCCCTGTTACAGAAATTTGTCTATACCATTAAACAAAGCACCAGTCACAGCAATTTTCTCAAGCAAGACAATTCTAGCTGTTCACATTATATTAGTAAGTACGTCAGGTGGGAGATGAGGGTTTAGAAAATCAGATGCAAAGCAGCCAAGGTCCAAAATTCACCAAGGCAGATTTGTGCTTAGCTAAAGGGAAACCAAAAAATTATTAAGTGCTGGCTCTAGGACTCTCTTATTTGAAGGAAGCTCTGATTTGTCTGTTTTTCAGAGGCTGGACTGGGCGCCAGTTGTCCAGCATGAGTTCCTCGGGTTCACCCTCCTTGTTGAAATTAAGGTTACGGAATTTCGACATCTAAAAATTGGGATTCAGAGATTAAAAAGTTAAGAGTTTCATAAGAGTGCTCACTTATGTACCTATGCAATATCTCAAAATATTTATTCTCAATGCTAGCTACAGTCTGATATATCTTGAGGTTCTAAATGCAATTTGATTCCCAATACCTACATAATTATGTAAATCCTTGTACATGCATACTTTTGCATAGCAAATAGTTTTATTATATAAAATACAAAATCATTGGAGCTACTTGGAAATTTTCAATGAGCTTGCTATTTTTTCTCAGTTTATAATCAAGCATCAAAAGTATATAAAATATAGCTGAAATATTAAAGAACAACTCTAGATTGAAATTAAAGTCTTCTTTTCTGCCCCAGAGAAGTTTGATTATAAAAGCTGTATAGAAAGTAAATAGGGTCTATAAGCCCAGAAGTCAAAGGATCTGCTGTCTATCTCCTTAAATATATGGAAACAGAAATTAATTTCAAGCCAGAATTTCAACTCTTTGTCATTGGTTGACTTTTCTAACCTTAAAAATTGTTGAGTTCCCTGCCCCAGTGATGTGACATAGGGTGCCCTCAGCCAATCTCTTGTTTTTTTAAACTGTTTTGCCTAATGTTATTTTACTTTTTCCCTAAAGGCGAGAAATAAATGAGAAAGGGTTGTTTGGGTATTATGCAGTAGCTCATGAACCAACTGCTTTTAACCCTATGCATAAGCAGTATAATAGTCCCTTAACCATCCATCATCTCCATCCCCACCCCCTAGACCCTCACACAAATGCACATGCCAAAGAAGCTGATCTTGATATAAGTTGACTCTTATAATATCCGCAACCATTGTTACTATAACACAAAGGAAATCATTAACAGTATCTAGAAATGTACTCATTTTCACAGAATCTCATTCTTACTCAATGAGTAAGAATCTGTTTATAGAGTACAACCAAGTTTTGGGTCAAACCAATGCAACTCATTTCCCAAGCTTTCAGACATTGGTCTACCAGACTTTATTTCAGCATCACAAACACAAGGCCTAAGTGAGGAAAATTAGAGGTAACAATAGGGCCAAACCATTTCTATTACTAACATGACATCTGTCCTATGCCTGGCCCACTTCATGAGAATAGTCATCTGCTTGACTTCTTCAGGTGGAAAGTCTGTAGGTATTACTTAACTGACCATGTCAATGATTCTCTCTTGTAATCACTATGTTAAAAGTGAGCATGGAAGAAATTCTCGCCAGTGAGATGTTGAAAGTTTTCAAGTGAACTTCAAGAAAAAAATTTGCCCGCTCTTAAGGAACTAATGGAAGAACCAACGATTTCTCTTCCACTTGTGATGTAGTTATGTCGGCATGTGCTACTCAAACTTTTCTTAAAATCATGTTGGGGATGCAAGTCAGAACTAGGGATTTCCAGAAGATAAGGAACCTGAGCCCAGACTTATGAATGTGAGGCCTAGCTCAGATTCCATGTACATGGAAAAATGTCTTTAGTGATATTTTACCATGCATGCAGTTATATTTATATTTCAGTATTACTTTCTGTCATAAAGGTTAAATTCTCTACAAAGGGACCAAAAGGATAGGTTCAATTGCCCTGACTTAATGGGTATTTGTGTGTATGGGTATGGGTCCACAATAAATACATTTATAACAGTTCTCAATGTCAGGCTACAAAATTCAAATTAGATTGTTTCCAGCTTAAGAATAGGAATGTGCAGAGTTTAAATTGTAACTCACGTACTGCATTTACAAGTAGGAAGAAACATTGTAATGTTTGCTTATATTTCAAGAATCATGCTCAAATGAGTATGACTGCAAGATCAGTTTTTAAGTCATCCACCAACAATGCAGCTACCAATTTTTTTTATCTACTTGGCTATCGAGAAGGTGATTTTTTTCAGATTAAAAAAGTGTCAGATATATATCTCCTCTAGAAGGATGTGAAGTATCATAGTCCACATAAGTTAACATTCTAAAGGAAAACAAACAGAATGCTATTTGTACTCAACTCTGATTCTGGTACAAAGAACTGCTATTTTACTGCACCACAGACCTGTTCAATACCTATTGCACATTCCAGCTTTTTTAATTTAATTTTTGATAACTAAAGTAGTATTGCAACATAAGGTTTATATGTGCATCATCCAAAATCAACATTTCTATATGTTGCATTAGGTGACATCTTTATAATTCTAATGATTTTAACTTCAATATTAAAATACTTGAGGAGTTTTTATAGGTTTAAGTCACACTACAAATACTCAGTAGAAATGTTCAGGACGTTGGCTATTGGTTTTCTTCTCCAACTATTCAAAATTCACACCCTTATGGGCCCTACTGAGGAATGCTCATTTTACACATTTCAACAACACAAACTGAAATAATTTCAGCAAATAATTTCTCTATTTGCCTCTGTGGATCCTAGATTGCATTTATGATCTGAACTAAGTACATGAAATATAAGAAAATCTCTGGACCAAAGTGCTAAAGCAATGTGGGACAAACTGATATGTAATTTTCCTCCAAAGTGATTTTCTAGATATTTTTGGAATTAAGAAATAAATTCTGATATAAATAAAACTGCAGTAAGCGCTGATGTGAGTGAGTACTAATCTGGGAATTATCTCTGAAACCTCCATGACCTCAAATATGAAATCTCATTGTTCTAAGCCTCAGCTTCCTCACAGCTTGCAAATAAAAAATGCACCCACACCTTTCTCATTTCATCCTCCTGATTGTTTCATTTTACAGAGCAAACAAACTGCCTAAGATTAAGCTTAATAACAAATATGTGTTGAATGCTGTGTATTTGCTAGGTACTGTTGCATGCAGGAGTTCCACCAGCCATAAACAGTCAAAAAAAAGAAAAGACTAAATCCTAGACAGCTGTGACCCCACAGGCCATGCTCTTCTGCCTGGACTAGCTGTTCCACCTCCCTACCCAAACCGCTTGCTAGAAAACTGACCTGCTCACTGCTAACAGTGATGGGCTCCTTGAGCACGATCCAGGTCACACATTCCAGGAGAGGGGGTGTGGTCAGGGAGCCCGGGTAGGTCCAGTAGTCAAAGCTCGCCGGAAGGAGGCCACGAGGGTCAAAGTTAGAGAAGTCAGCGCTCTTCCCCTGGAACAAGGAAGAGGCAGGAATTAAACCTGTCACGTGGGCTGAGGAGGAGGAAGGCAGAGAAGTAGGAAACATAAAGACGTGCATTCTCTTTAATAGGGAGGAAAAAATACTGTGAAAGAAGTTCATCTTCACCAGAAAACAAAAAAAAATTAACATAAAGCTCTGACTTTGGAAGGGGCAGAGAGATAGTTCAGGGGTCCGAGGCTCTAGCCCAGCAAACGGCCTAGCAGGGTTCTATCTTCAGCACAGCTTGTGGTTTCCTGAGCACTAGTAGGAATGCTCCAGGAGCACAGAGCCAGGAGTAAACCTTGAGCATTGCCAGTGTGCGGCACCCCCATTCACCGCTCTGAAACAAAAATGAAAGAAACAAACAAGACCTTTGATTTGGAAATCTAGATAAGAAGATAGTAGAAAGAAGACTTGACTCTCAATTTCAAATACCATTTCTCTTGTCTGCCATAGGGGCAGGGGAAGGGCTGGGATGGGGGATATTGGGGTCATTGGTGGTGGAAAGTGCGCACTGGTGGAGGGATGGGTGTTCAATCATTGTATGACTGAAACTCAAACATGAAAGTTCTGTAACTACATTTCATGGTGATTCAATTAAAAAAAAATACCCATTTCTCTTCTCCTCCTCAAAAATAATCCCTTAGATTTTTCATAAAGTCATCAAATAACGTGATGCAATATTCAAAGTGAAACGATGTCACTGCAGTGCTAGAATTTTAGGCTGCAGTCACAACAACAGTAGTGCAAAGAAGGGGATAACTGTCTTACTAGCTAATTTGCTGCATTCATTTCTGGACAGTATAGTTTTAAAGCAATGGATACAAACAAGGATGAATTACTAAAAGATCAACAGGATTGTGGCACTGTAGCACTGTCCACCCATTGTTCATCGATTTGCTCCAGTGGACCCAGTTACGTCTCCATTGTAAGACTTGTTGTTACTGTGTCTGGCATATCGAATACATCACGGGGAGCTTGCCAGGCTTTGCCATGCGGGCGAGATACTCTTGGTAGCTTGTCGGGCTCTCCGAGAGGGGCGGAGGAATCAAACTCGGCTCGGCCATGTCGGCCGAGTGTAAGGCAAATGCCTTACCCACTATTGCTCCAGCCTGAGAGAAAATGGCATGGGAGAACAGTTAAAGAGAACTAGAGGAAAGTTTTAGAGAAAGTCATTTTGAAAAATAGTTGGATCAGGTGGAAGAGGGATAATGGTTCAATATGATTCAAGGGGCCAGGCTAGAAGTGTTAGCATCTGAAGAGCGGGGTCCGCTTCAGATTCCAACAAGCTCTGCAAAGCCAGGGCTGGCTCTGGGAAATGTGGTCCTTAAGGAGATTCTCGACAACCTCCACACAGCTCTGCTGCAGAGAGCATTTAAGCACAGGGAGGAATAGTTGCACACAGTCTTGTCATCTAAAGTTATCTCAGGGGGCTGGAGCAATAGCACAGCTGGTAGGGCGTTTGCCTTGCACGAGGCCGACTGGGTTCAATTCCCAGCATCCCATATGGTCCCCTGAACACCACCAGGGATAATTCCTTAGCACAGAGCCAGGAGTAATCCCTGTGCATTGCTGGGTGTAACCCCAAAAATGCAAGAAAAAAAAGTTATCTCAATAAAAAATACAAATGAAAATAATAGTAATAAGCCTAATAAGGTAATATAATTGTCCATGAAGCAGGGCCTTCTGTTCCTCATTGTATCTCCTGGGTTAACAAAGTGGTTAGTTGGTAACAAATATTCAACAAATATTTGCTGTATGAATGACTCATTTTGCAGACGGTTTTCCAGCTTCTCTGGAACCATGGGACTCTTGGGACACTGTTTTTGCATGTAAACATGACTGGAAGGAAGACTGAAGAAAACCAAATCATAAAATCATATCAGGATTAGAACCAACTTTGGGATAAAGAAAAGTTAAAAACATAAACTACATTGTATCCTCATAAGTACTCATTCAAATACCACACATCAAATGGAGATTATTCGGTTTGATCAGAAGAATTTCCTGAGCACGGTGGGATAGGAGTAACAGAGACTTTAATGGAGACGCAGAAGTCTTTACCTTGGTTTTAATGGAATCCAGGGCATCGAGCACTTTCTGGAGGACTGGATTAGCACTGCCAATCTGTAGGAAAAGATAAGACACAGGACTCTCTAACTCAGTTGTTGCTATACCAATTGGGGCTGGCTCAGAAAATTTTTTCTTATTGTAAAATCAAAATTGAGCACTTGCTATCTGTCACCCATCAATCTTTGATTAAACTGGCAGCATAGTCTCCCCAAATTTTGCTGACAACTTCCTCTGCATTTACTCTCATTCCTCCGCAGTTCTCTCTCATGCCCAGTGACTCCCAACTTCTAAAACAAAGGCTACTCTTCAAAGGTTTTTCTTAATTTTCTTATAGGCTTTCACACTGCTGTTTTCCCTTGTTCTTGAAATTCCCTCTTCCCTTTGACTTGCCTGCCACCTTTCAGTCAATCAAACTTCCTGTGATTCTTCCTATATTTCTCTTTAGTTATATGCTTAGCATCTTCTCCTTCACCTTAAGGGCCTTGCATTCTGCAGATTTGGGGGATGCTTGCTTAGAAACCTTCATCTCTTCTTGCTTCCAAAGGATGGTTCCCATGGATGGTTCTGTATGCTGACAGATATGATACCAGGGTCTCTGACTGGAATCCAAACCTTTTCGTTTTCCCTTTACGACCATCTAGCTGGCAGCTCACTCTCCAAGCTTCATTCTTGCCTAAAATACTCTAATATCAATCAACTTTCCTTCAATCCTCTCCAAATGGATTTTAATTTAGCTTCGTTTGTTGAGAAGTTAGTTGGCTGAACTCTTTTTTTAAAGGTTGAATTCTTTTTTTCTTAACTGCATCTGTTAAAGAGTCTTTCCTCGTTTAAAATATAAGAGCCTTCAGATTCCCATCTAAATGTCTAAATGGTACCAGCTAGTACCCCTTCACGTTGTCCTTTTGTCCTTCATCTCCACCACCACTAGCAGTGACGAAGGAGAAAATAAGTCTGAAAATATTTTGGAGTCAAAGGCATTTTGTAGAAGATCCCATATGTTATGAGTGTTCTGTCTGGTCAATCTTTCGTAAAAACAGGTATTGGAGGGAGGGGACATCAACCAACCTTCAAAAAAACACCCAAAACAGACAATCCATCAGGCTGTTGCACAGCTTTTCCAAATTCCCCATATTTGGTGTTCCAGTGAACCAGGTGAAGCTAAAACCAGAGGAGACAAAATATATACAATGAATGACTCAATAAATGCCTAGAGATATTTTACATCGACTTTTTTTTCTTCATTGCTAGAGGTTACGAAAGAAAGTGAAAATGTAGGTAATTACCTCCTATCTAACATAAGGACAAATGATTACATCAAGATGTCTAAGACCAAGCATTACCTAGTTTTTAGGGAAATCATTTCCTTTGATTTTATATTAAAAAGAGGCCCTTTAAATTCTTTTAACTTTTTGCAAGGGGTAGGTATCCTTGGATATAACAGAGATCATTTATTCAGCATTACTTGAAGCATCACACATAAAAAATTTTAAGAAGGAAATGTGATGGTTCTTTGTAAAAGCAATTGACTTGGCTTGAGTCAGATTTTTTAAAAAATTAAGTTTCAAAATTCAAAATTCATACGAAAACATCGATTTTTATCTTTGCCTGAAGAAAAAGCTCTGCTTACCTCTGCAGCATATCTCTTTTTATCCGTAGTATGCTCAGAACCGTGCCCATCAGCAGAGCCCCAGTGAAAATGAAACTGGATCAACCTGTAAGTTTCAGTGAGCGGTCCTCCTTTCAGCACTGAAAATTTAAATATACATACATGTAAATGCGCACATAGAAAACATGCATTCTCATATATGTACCTAGCACACCTCCATGCTACTACAGAGTGCAACCATCAATCCTATCTTCATACCTAGAAATATTTTCACTTTGAAAAGTAAGTTCAGACACAGGTTTATTCCACTGCGCTGAACAAATCGTTTCATTTGGTTCCGGCCCTCACTTGGTTTGGTAGAAGGATAGGTTCTGTTCCCCTCCGCTTTCTGAACAAGGCTCTTCTGGGTTTGTTTTGGCCTCGTGAGTTTAGGTTCCAAGAGAAAAAATTATGTAAAACTATTAGTTCCTCTGTGAATTATGTAGGAATTTCCTGGGAAGCTGCTTGTCCCGACCACAGTTACACACTTGCAAACTTGGGAACCTTTTCAACCCCCGTCCACTGAGTGCCTCCAACCTTGGTTTCGCTCACTCTGACAGACCAGATCTTGGGTGTGGTGGCAGAGGAAGCACTTCCCATGTAGTGAGCACAAGTTGCTTCATTAATAAATTTGGGTAAATAAAGATGTGCAAGCAGATGCCACCCCAAAATAAGAATATAAATAAATAAATAACATCCCATGATTCTCCTATCTTGCATTATGTAGCTTTGTTATAAGTGAAATCAATACCATAAATCATATTCTTAGAGTAGGGTCTCCCTGTGGATAAGTTGTGTCTTATTTTGTTTGTTTCTTTTGTGGCCACAACCGGTGATGTTCAGGAATTACTCCTGGCTCTGCTCTCAGGCATTAGTCCCGGCCATGCTCAGGGGACCATATGGAATGCCAGGAATCGAACCTGGGTCAGCTGCCTGCAAGGCAAACGCTTTACCCATGGTACCATTGCTCTGACCCATCCAGCTGTCTCTTAAAAGAGCGCTGTAATATAAAAATCACTCTTTCCCCATTCTTACCCCATAACATAACAAACATTTTATGTTTAAGGCATGCCAATATACATAATATATAAAAATGTTTATGATATCTGTTGCTTGACCAATATATGTTAAAGCTCTTAAGAATAATTTTACCACCTCCATTTTATAGTCTGTTGCTACACTTTATTTTTATTAGGGGTATGTTATTAACTTCGGTTTATAGTTCTACAAAATGAAGAGCTCAGACTTACTCTGTAGGTGCAAAACAGAGAGTGAGTCTGTTCCACAAAGTCTGCTCGTTTCGCTCTCCCTAAGCTTAGGTGGCACCAACACCCTCGAATACACTCAGTAAAATAAAACTGGCTAGAAGAGAACTGGGTGCAAGGATTGTTCCATTGTTCCTAGTCTGACCCCGCTGCCAGCTTTGCTTTCTAATAGACCCGGGCATGGAAAAGAAGAATGAAGGGAAAATTATAAATGGTGTTTCAGTTATAAATGGGTTTTAAATGGTTTACCTATTTAAAAATATCAGTTTGAATATATTTTGGTAAAATCTCTTCTCCTAAAACAGCTCATTGAAAGCCTTTCTTTAATTTGATCATTCTGTTAAGGAAAGAATAAGTCTTCGGAGGCTGGAGCGATAGCACAGCAGGTAGGGTGTTTTCCTTGCATGAACCCGGCTGACCCGGGTTCAATTTCCAGCATCTAGATGGTCCCCCGAGACCACCAGGAATAATTCTTGAGTGCAAAGCCAGGACTAATCCCTGTGCATTGCTGGGAGTGACCCAAAAAAGAAAAAAAAAAGAAAAGAAAAGAGAAAAATGAGTGTGGAATGTAATCACAAAAGTTTGTAAGTCTGTTGCCTCTTTTGCAAACCACAACACCCAATAGGAGAGAGAGAACAAAAGGGAATGCCCTGCCACAGAGGAAGGGTGGGATGGGGGGGATGGGGCTGGGAAGGATACTGGGATCCGTGGTGGTGGGAAATGGGCACTGGTGGAGGAATGGGTAATTTGATCATTGTATAACTGAAACACAAGCACAAAAATTTGTAAGTCTACAACTGTACCTCATGGTGTCTCACTAATAAAAATGTTTAAAAAAAAGTTTATAAGTCTGTAACAGTACATTACATTGATTCATTAAAAATTATTTTGTTTAAAAAATGTGCAAATCTTTCCCCCCCCCTTTTGTAATGAAAGTAAATGTCTAAGGCAGAGAGATAGTACAGGGGGTAGCTCTTGTCTTGCACAAAGTGGTCATCCCCACACTTGGTCCCCTAAGTACCACCAGGAGTGATGTCTGATGCAGAGCCAGAGGCAAGCTCTGAGCACTATCAGATGTGACTCGAACATTCCTCTCCAAAAAATAAGATGCTTATGAAATGAATTTAATCTGAAATAATTTCTTGATGATGACCTGAGAGCTAACTGAACTTAAAAAGCAACATTTATTCTACCTAGTGGTAAAATACAATGAAGCAACTGGCCTTTCTATATGTATCTCCTTTCCCCTGGAAAGGGCCGAATTAGGATCTAACATTTAAAATATAATAAGGCTTATTGTTCTTTCTTTTTTATCTGATCCCTGGACTTCTTAAGAATTCTATACCAATTTAATGCTTCCAGAGAATGTTAAGAATTAGGCAAAAATATACAAGTTTTCATTTTTTAATTTAAAACCCTTTTAATTATAGTGTAGGTAACATGATTATTAATAGCATTGAAGCTTATAGATTTGATGTAAATCTCCACCACCTAGCACCCATAGCCTTCCCCCACTGACCTGGTGAGTTTTTAATAAAAATATGACTCGCTAATACTAAAAAAAAAAATAAAATTACTTTCAGAGTTTAATAATTAAACACATGCAGTGCTGATCTATTACCCTCATATACCTGTTTAAGCTCCTGTTAAAATAAAACTATGTTGCTATGTAGAGAAGCCCATCATAATTAGAAACAGTTGAGAAGCCCTTAAAGCTCATTTTGCTATTAAAAACAGTGGTTCTGGTCTTGGTCAACTAGTGGGAAAGTTCTCAGCAAATTCTTAGCTTGGAATTAAGTTCATCAAGGCCTTAAAATATTTTTTTAGAGCCAAGAAGATAGTTCAGGGATCAGGGATGCGTGCTGGAATTCATAAGGCCTTGAGTTTGATCCCTGACTTCTCACAGTCCCCAAGCATAGCACTGTAGCACTGTCCCACTGACGTCCCGTTGTTCATTGATTTGCTGGAGTGGGCACCAGTAATGTCTCCATTGTGAGACTTGTTGTTACTGTGTTTGGCATATAGAATATGCCACAGGGAGCTTGCCAGGCTCTGCCGTGGCGGTGGGATACTCCCGGTAGCTTACTGAGAAGGACAGAGGAATGAAACCCGGGCTGGCCACGTGCAAGGCAAACACCCTACCCACTGTGCTATCTATCCAGTCCAAGCATACCTGGTATAAACCTGGAGGTCCCAGAGCACGGACTTTCCTGCCCAGTTGTCTGAACATTTCTAATAGTGGTCCTCTAGGCCCTCTGAACACTGCTTGTGAGACTCCACCCCTCAGTTTAAAAAGGAGTAGTCATGATTCTAATAAATACAGCATGCATCTTCTTATATGAGAAATAAGAAAAAAGATGAGCTTCCATTGAGTAGGGAAGATTTTGCTATCATCCAATTCAACTTCTTTCATTTGAATTCTACTATTTTTATACTTGCTCAGCTTAAAACAAACAAAAACAAAAAACCATGTACTTTTAATCCAAAAATAATTTTAAAGATAGTATAAATTGCTGACTGTATATGCTTTTTTTTTGTCAAATCCAGCTATGTTTGGGGGACTCGGAGAAGTCAGTGATTTCTTAAACTGCAGAAATGTGTTTCACAAAACACATAAATGGGTTTTCTATTCAAATGGCTTTTTTTTTTCAATTCTCAGAACTTAACAATACTGGAGTGGGCACCAGTAACATCTCCATTAGTGAGGCTTGTTGTACATTTCAAGAAACACCAATTGATTGTAACTTTTTTTGATCTACTATCAGTAATGCGCGTTGAATATGTATTAAACATAATAACCAAATATAATATTATAATCTATCTTTCAATAGATAGTTGAGGAACTTATATAAATTATGTTGCTGTGTAAATCAAGAGATTCACCCCTGCCATTTAAAAATGAATCACATCTATGTAAATTAGAAACTAAAAGTTTAACAAATTAGTTTCTCCCTTTTCACTACTTTATCACTGCTTAATGTAACACACTTCCAAGCAACAAACTAAAGACCTTAATCAATGTAAATAGTGTCGTCATCATACAAAATATAAATAAGCTGTTCTCAATAATCCTTAGCTTGCATCGAAAATTTAAGGAATGTCTTGGAAATGAAGTAAGTAAATCTGCTAGAAAACACAGCATTTCCTGCAGCTTAACAATCTCCCCTGTGAACAATCTAAAAACTTATTAAATCAGGCTTTATTGTTTTGCTATTTTGGGCAATAACCAGTAATCTGAGGGCTACCTACATACTAAAGTTAAGAAAATACACAATAAGGTAGATAAATCTGAGGGAAAGATTGCCATACTTTTTCCCAGTAAGAGATTTTAGTGAGAGTGTAGTAGTTACTTTCACTGAGCAAAATTTAAGAGAACAGACTTTTTTTTTAAATTTTCATATATATGGGGATCACATGAAAGTCAAAAAAGGACATCTTTAACATTTTTTTACATGAACCTAACTCAATACAGTATTGTTCTGAGTGTTGGGGTCAGTTTTCTAGATACTGAAGGCTCTGCTCACACCATAAACATGTATGGTAAAAGGTAAAGGTAAAGGCCCTCCCGTTGATCGTCGATTTGCTCAAGTGGGCCCAGTAACGTCTCCATTGGAGACTTTGTTGTTACTGTGTCTGGCATATCGAATACTCTCGGTAGCTTGCCGGGCTCTCCGAGAAGGGTGGAGGAATCGAACTCGGGTCGGCCATGTTGGCCGCGTGTAAGGCGAACGCCCTACCCGCTGTGCTATCGCTCCATGTATGGTAAGGCCTTCAATTTGTTGGTATTCTGTTTCCTTTTTAACTTATCACATTGGAAGGAAAATTTTAAAACTGAAAAGCAAGTCCCTGAAAAATGAAGAAAGATCTATGTTCTATTTGAGAAAAAATGCTCTGGTTCAGGTGAGATGAGGTAAACATGGCTTTCATTCTTTATTTCTTGAAATGATAGGGGAAAATCTCCAACTTCTAAAACAAATGATAGCGTATTGGTTGACCCAATCATTTGAATATTTATTCCAACTTTGCAATAAAGAAGGAAAATACTAAGCTCATTAGTAAAAGTTAATAAGTTAGCAGGAGTTAATCATTTGGCTGTTATTCTTTTCTCCCAAATAAAGCTAGTAATAAAAGGTCTCAAGCAGTTAGTTATTTTTTAATCATTAAAAAAAAATCTAACAGGATTATCAAATTTTCATTAATTTTTAGGGGGTTATTTTTAAAGGAATTTAGAAGATAGGTAAGTGCGTTAAACCAGCTTCCAGTTAAAGCCTATTAACTCTGCATATAAAAAGAATCTTTCAAGCTTCAACACAGCAATTAACTCAACCAGCTGAGTTCCTGATACCCAAGTATTTAAGTTTGCATAGAAGATAACATTTAGGATAAATTTGAAAGTCTGCTTCTGTAAAAAATTCTAGATTCAAATCTCACTGAAGGTAAGATGTAAATGAATTGATGCATTTAATTGTAAAAAGCAAGCAATAAAAGACAGTTAGAATGGTAACATCATAAAAAGAACTCCAGACTAAAAGATAATCAACTATTTTAAAAGTTAAGCAACCATTATTTTTAGACTCACATACAGAGAAAACGTAACAGTTTTTCTAAACATGGTACTCCCGACAAACTGTTAACTAAGGCTCTCAATCAAAGATTCTTATTCAAATATGTTGTGGGGTGTTGTTTTTGACATTGGATTTGGGCCCACATTCCTGCTCTGTGCTCAGGCATCATTCGAGGAGAGGCTTGGGGAACCGTATGTGGTGACTGAATCAAACCTGGATGGGTTGCATGCAAAGCAAGCACTCGACGCTATGTGCTGTCCTATCTCTAAGGCCCGTCAACTTCTATTCTTAAATGACTTTCATTTCGTCTCGCTCTAACAGACTAGGAAAGAGATGAAAATAAATTACTTAAACTCGTACATACTCTGTTTTTTCCATGTTTACTATTGCAGAATTGCAGTGTCTTTGCCATTTGTTCTAACTTAAGACTTTAGAATCTGTCTGTTTCTGTTCTTGAAATGCAGGGACCAAATAGTGCAAGGTCCTATTTGAGTTTGTACCCTGCCAACCACAATTCAATCTGCAGCACTGTGCTAGAAAGGATCTCTTGAGCACAGAACCAGGAGTAAATCCTGAGAACTTCTGGATGTGTGTCATCCCTCTTCCCCACCCACCAAATTACAAATTTTAAGTGTAAAATGATACGTCTTAGCATGCTGTAGAATAGAGTTCTTTTACTTTAGTTTTGTTTGTTTCTGAAATGCTGAGATATGGTTTCCCTGGATATCAACATTTAACAAAATCTGCATCCTAGGGGGAAAAAAAGTGCTTCCTTGTTCAATCCAAACAACTGAAAATGTTTAAAGAGGTATGGGCAAAATGACAAAGGCGTCTTTGATATGGAAAGACAACAAGTTTTCTAACACTCCCTCCTCCCCCTTGTTTTTACAGCACTTCTGGCCTGCCCAGAGCTCACGCTGTGTTCTTGGGTCCAGGATACTTCCTCCAATCAACCAAAATCCTTCAAGTCTTAGTCTAAGTCATATTTCCCTGGGAGAGTCCCGCCTTGCTGGCTCAGGACAACTCCTCAGCCTCCACAGTGATCCCTTCATTCTTTGAGAATTCCTTTGTGTTGCTGTGTTGCCGTCAAGACTGCCAGTGTCTATGATTCCTGTCTTTCTGCTCTGGGCATCTCCAGCAGAGATTCTGGGAATACAGGATTCTGGGAGTAGAGGACTCCCTCCTGCCCTCGCCACACATGGCTTCTCTAGAAAGTATTTTATCTTTGTCTAAGAACCAGGTGAATAATACCTATGTCTGAGGATACAGACTTGGGTCCCTACATGGGTTTTCAGCTGTTTCACAGTGTAAGAATAGATGGTAGTCGTTTGAATGAGGTCCGTGTTATTCTCCAGAAGCAGAGAAGGTATACCTGGTCCTAATCAGTTACTGCTCGTACAGAAACCCATGGGCACCTGATCTACTCAAGATGAAACATATAAAACCATGTCAGAGTCATATGTGAAATTAGACTTTAGTATAAGAATGAAACACAGTGGCATGCAGAAATAAAATTTCAAAATACTAGCAAGTGATGGGAAGTAATATTAGAGCTAATTAAGGCCTTTTCTTTAAAGGCTTCAACCTTTAAAGGTCTGGGTTTCAACCTTTAAAGGTCTGGGTTTCAATACATACAGCAATTGTCTAATAAAGGAGCATGCAGATCCAATAACCACAATGGAAACTGAGAAATTATTATACGCTAGTCACCGAGTTAGGTACTGTCTATTCACTATCTCAATTAATCCTTTCTCTGCAGTAGATAACACTGCCACTCTAATTTTACAGCAGAGAAAAGTAAAACTCAGAAAGGTTAAGTTACTCTCCTCTCCTGGCTACTGAGCTGGCTCATGGTAGATGCTGAAATTAAATTCAGGCTTATCATGCTCATGGTCATCATACTACATTACTGATACCCACTTTCCAATAATACAGGAACAACTTATTTTACAATCAAATCAATAAAGAATAAAGGTTATACATCTCTTGTTTCCATTTATTAGACATTCATTTATTCATTCTTTAAAAAACACTTTGAGCATCCAATTTCTCTGTTGCATATAATAACGCTGGTGAACATTCCCTCCACTGAAAACAATTCTTTCATTCATATCACTGAAATATACATTCATTCCATCTCTTTTATAAAAAACACTGAAGTCTGAGACTAAAGTAATTTAAAGATATTTGGTTTCCTTGTTATCTGTACAATACTGCCAACACCATTAGCCTAATCATTTGATAAATATTCAGTGTTTATGGTGTATATATATATATATATATACACAACCTATTTTTTTCTTTGTGAATTAATTTTTTCCTTAATGTGGGCAGCATGCTTGGGAAGACAGTGGAATAGAATTATTGATGGAGTTTCTTCGGTGGTCATTCTCTGCTAAATCAAAATCTAATAACTTATGCTAACGGCGAGATAACTTAAAGAACTGAAAAACATCCTTACATTCAGGAGCTCCTCATTCTCTCCCTGGCAACATATAGTTCCCCACCAGATGCTATGCCAAAGTGTGTGTGTGTGTGTGTGTGTGTGTGTGTATCCTGAACTAGGTTTTACACAGCTCACAAGTAGACCGAAAAGATTTTTCAGATACTCTCTGTGTTAATCTTCCAAAGAGCAATCTTCCTGAGTCACTATTTCAGAAAAAGAAAGGGTCTGACAAACAAAAATTTACGAGCAGGCGAGGGTGAGGAGGAAGAACTTTTACAAAGCTGTACTGAATACAATGGATAGCTAATGAGAAAGAAGAATCAATTCAACTACAATGATTATCATCACATTGATATATTTTTGACAGCACACTGGAATGTCATCTCTCTCGCATTTTGCCCTACTCCCACAACATGCAGTTTGTCTGGAGCACCATTCCTCCAGCGACCTTCAGAGGAAGTGTTTGGGAAAATAGGGCACTGGCAATTAAATCAACCAGTGGACAAAGAAGGTTGCTACCGTCTAAATGAGGTTGTGTTTCTATTTCTAAATAGAGGGGAAAAAACATTCATTGGGCGTTTGGAAGATAGGTCTATTACAAATAAATTAGGATAATTGGTTTTATCTATGACAGTTCAATTGTGTCTTCATGTGTGCATGAATTTCTGGATAGAAAGCAGGTTAGACCACTTTATCACACTAATGATAAGAAAACATTCCTAAATGCAATTGTTTCTAAGGATTTTACAATTTGGGCCGGGGGGGGGGGGGGGGGGGGGTGTGCTTTGGGGCCTGTAGTGCTTGGGGCTTAATACTGCATCTGTGCTCAGAGATCACCTCCAACAGGCTCCAGGGATGATACTGGGTACCAGGGATGGAGACCTGGATTGGCCGTGTCACGTGGCAAGCGCCCTTCTGCCCGTTGGACTCTCACACAGGCCCCTGAATTTTATGATTTTAGATTTTTTTTTCTTTTTGGGTCACACCCAGCAATGCTCAGAGGTTACTCCTGACTCTGCACTCAGGAATCACTCCTGGCAGTGCTCAGACGACCATATCGGATGCTGGGAATCGAACCCGGGTTTGCTGTGTGCAAGTCAAACACCCTACCCACTGTGCTATCACTCCAGCCCCTGAATTTTATGATTTTAAAGTGTCCCCTGAATTTTATGATTTTAAAGTGTCTGGTTTTCATCATCCTGTGACTGCTATCTTTAGGCTCACACTCAGAAGCACTTTGCACTGGTGTAGTCACCCATTCTGGAAAACAAATATTTTAGAGGGAATTTTCAAGTTTTGCAAACCTTGTGTGTCTGATGTTGACAGGGGTCTTGGGGAGACCTTCCCTTCTCTGACTTACACAGGCATAGACACCTTAGATAGAAACCAGCAAAACTTTCTGTCCTCCAAAGAGCCTGGGGCCATTCAAAGCAATTAGCCTACTTCTGGAATTTAATGAAGATCACCAGCGTGACATCCTAGAGTGCGCGCTCTAGTAGGGAGTTCTGCCAGTTTCCTACCGCTCCCATCAAGTTCGGGGAAAACAAACACAAGGAACTTTCTCAACACCGACCTGCTTTGTCCTGGGAGTCATCGAACTCCACGTTGAATCCGTGACCATTGTTCACGATTCTCCGGGACACGGCTTGCTCATAGCTCACACTCAGGGGCTTCAGGGAAGGGTCATGAACGGCGGTCTTGGTGTTGATGTCCACGGGGGACTGACGCTCTCCTTTGGCAATGGGGAAATCCTTATGCCAGTGGTCGGGTCCTAGGGTAGGGAAGAGATCTGTCAGTCCGCCAGTACGAGGGGAGGGGCCACCCCGCACCCCTAGATAAAGGCAGTGATCTTAGAACCCATCTGCTCGCTTCCAATTTTGGCGGCACCCCTTCAAGCGCCAAATGACTTGGCGGAAACATTCCCTCGCTGGTGCCTCCGTTTCCTCGTGTTACGGGGCTGGGGCTATTAGGCTGGTTATGAAAATTGAGAATTAGCATCTGTTAAGATAGTACAAGCAGCTGGCGTCATGTAAATAGTAGCTCTTTTCCTTCCACTCTAGTTTTCCCGACATCCCGCGATGGGAACTGTGGACGAGGCAGCACTCACCTGGGGCTGGCTGAGGATCGGGACTGTGCGCGCCCATTCAAACGCTCGGGCCGGGCCGGGACCACCCGGGAGGGCTCGGACCCGAGGCTGCCCTTCCCGAACAGTTAAGGATTCCCGGGGACTGCCCATCCCCATACAACCGTGGACCCCCCCCCCTCCCACACACACACAGGATGAAAACACCAAATCCTCCTCGCATCCGCTTCCTCGCGCCTGCGGGCACCCACCGGGTCTGTGACTATGTTAAAGCGCATTCCCTGGGGACCCCCTAACACCTCAGAAGCGGGGAGAGGGAGGGAAAACTCCCAGATCACACTCCCCGGGGTCCCAACACCCCGTCCTAAAAAAAAAATAAAAAAAATAAAACGCCCCGGGATGGAGCACGCTGCCGGCCCTTAGCCACAGGTGGTCCCCGCAGACCCGAATTTTGGGGAGGTGGGTGGTGGCAGGAGAAGACGGGGGGACCCTAATTTCTTTGCGATGCCCCAAGGGAAGGAAAAAAAATTCCCCAGCGCCAGCCCCAGCTTGGCGGGGTGCCGGCCCGGCCGGGACGGCGCGGGGTCCCCGCAGCCGCGCGCCCCCCGCCCGGATTCCTCGACAGTGGCGCCCCGGGCGCGGCGGGGCGTCGGGGCGCGGGGGCGGCGCGCACTCACCGTTGTCCTTGCCGTATCCCCAGTGATGGGACATGGTCGCGCGGCGGGGCTGGCGGCTGGCGGCGGCGCGGCGGGGCTGGGAGCTGGCACGCTGTGTCCGCGGGTCGCGCCGTCCCCGGCTTTTATAGGCTCCCGCCAACTTGGTGCTCGGGGGCGGCGTGGGGGTGGGGGGGGGAGGGGGGCCCGGGGTGGACCCGGCGGCCGGCGGGAGGAGGTGACGGGCTCTCGGGGCGGGCCGGCGGGCAGGGCCCCGGGGGCGGGGAGAACGCCCCGGCGGCGCGCGTTCCCTCGGCCCGGGCCCCCCCCTGCACCCCGACACCCTCCAGGCGGGCGGCGAGCGGGGCGCGGGGTGGGTGCGGGGCCGCGGGGCGTCTAGGCGCACCCCATCCCCCTCCGGGGCGCAGAGTCGGGCCGCGGCGCGCGCCGCTGGGCCCCCGGGCCCCCGGTGCCTCTCCCGCGCGGGCCCCCGGCAGCTCGCATCCCGGGTCCCCCGGCCGTGGCGCGCCACCGCATCCGCTCCGCCGGCGTCGGGCCGTGCCGCCCCGAAGGCTGGTCCCGGGGTACCCGCGCCCGGGGCTGCGGCGCGCGGGGAGCGGTGACCTTGGGGCAAGTAGGGATACGGTCCTCGGGAGCCGGGGAGCTGCGGCGGGGGGTGCCGGGGCCGCGCGCCCCCTGCCGGCCGTCGGCGGAACGGCGCGAGCGCCGCCGCCACCCGGAGAGCCTCCCAGCCCGGGAGATGATGCCACGGCAGGCTGCCTGCCCGGGGTCATGTGAGACGCGCATCCCCAGCCGGCTCCCTCGTCTTAAAAAAATAAAGAAAAAGGTCTCCGAGGAGGTCACTTCCCGAGCACGTCTCGATCGCAAGCATCCAACACTTCTACGAGCTCGCTTTTCTCGCGCGCAGTCACCGGGCAGGTGCATTCCTTTGCAAACTGGGTTGTGCGCTCTGCCGGGCTGGCGGGGGAAACTTGGCATTGGGTGCGCCTGAGAAATTATTTAGAAAAATTCCAGAGGACGGTACTGAGACACTGGCAGTTAGCGTGGCTGTCGTGGGCCCCGAAGTATTTTGCCTTAATGAATTTCTTTTTCTCCTGTGTGTTTAATAAATATATGTGTGCTTATGAAACATAAATGTATGCTGCCAATGATCTGATTATTCTTATCTTAATAACATATATTATATATTTAAACTTTTTTTGGAAAAAGTCTATTTTTTTCTCCTTTTGATGACATTTAAGTCGGGGAGGGGACGCGCCGCAGCTCTGGCTCTTGTGGCATTGGGGCGTGAGGTCAGGTCCCAGCACTGGCCGGCAAGTTAGCTGCCCGTCTCCGTAACACTGTTCTGATCCCTGCTGCCACAACAGATACGTGCACTGGGCAGAGAGCACCGCGCCCAGAAGCATACAAAGCTCTCCAAACAAGGGTGTGCAACCCCTGATCATTGCAAAAAAGTCAAGGGAGAGAGAAATATGAGAGAAAGAGAAAGAGAGAGAGAGAGAGAGAGAGAGAGAGAGAGAGAGAGGTGGGTCAGTGACCCTGTGCTTACTGAACCTTAGAATCAAGCAGTTGAGGGGTTGTTTTGAGGTGAGGAGAGAATTCCTTTCCTTCCAGGGACTTTGCCAAAAAAAGGGAAAGAAGGTTTTTCTCTCCTGTGGTTTCTGTGATCTTTGGGGGCCTAGCACCCCGGAATTAAAGCTGGAGAAGCACAATATAATATTACACAACTTGATCAGCCTTGGCATTATATTTCTTATATACATAAATAAAAGAATGGCAGGGGTCTAAATATTTGATCTCAAAATCATTATTTGCTGCTATTTCTTGCTAATCCCTCATGAACAGATATGATTTACTTTTCCTCGTTCTAAGAATCTAGAAAACTGTGTCGGTCTGTGGGTGAGTCTCTGACTGCTGCCACAATATATTATAAGGAAAAGAGAACTGAACAACTTTCTGGTCCTTGACCCTTCATCAAGCAGGGTTCAGCATTAAGAATCTTTTATTTGTGCTTCTGTGGCTGCCTAGACTCAGGAAGCCTATGAAATAATTCTGATTCTTTGCATAATTTTCAAATATTTACTTAACTCAGGAGAGGGCCTTGCTGTTGCTATGAGATCCTTCTCTGGGCCCTGGGGATAAAAAGTTGATAAATGCTTGCAGTTGAGTACAAAGCCCATGAATGCAAAGTGGCTCTACAGAGTCTGGAAAAGTAGCAGGTACTGAATCCCCTGGAATCTTTGACTCTCATTTCTGTCAAACTAGACCGGGGCTTTAATAATGGGTCTGAAATAGAAGCATGTTTTGGTGTTTATATCTCAGACTTCAAATAACACCAAACTGCCGTGCGCCAAATAATTTCTTGTTCTGCAAAGTTTGCCCCCACTTGGTTCTAGAAAATGAGCTGGATCTCAGTGGAACAGGCTCTCTGCACAGCAGCGAGGGCAGGTCACGTGGGCACTACCCGGCAGACAGGGGCTCACCTTTGGACATTCCACAGAGAGCCAGATGTTGCTGTTGCTGTTTTGATTCACTTTAATAATGGAAATGACTTTATGCCCTTATGTAGAACACTCAGAAACTGACTGTATTTTACTGAGTGCATTCTTAGTAGGCAGTGTGAGTCAGGGGGCAAGAGAGTCCTCCAGTATTGGGTTTAAAAATATAAAACAGTAATTATCATACGCTTGTTTAAATTTTTACTAGATGGAAGGACTGCCTCGTATCAAAATAAGTAAGGAAACTACAGTACCGAGACTGGAGTGCAAATATGGCAAGTCGGCCACTTGCCTTGCATGCGGCCGACCAGGGACTCGATCCTGGGCATCCTGTGTGGACCCCTGAGTACGCCAGGAGTGATCCCTGAGCTCAGAGCCCAGAGTAAACCCTGAGCAGTGCTGTGGCCCCCAAACAAAACAAAACAAAAACCAGCAAAAAAAAAACACAAAACCCCACAATAGCTAAAGAAACATACTTGTTCTGCCTCAGGAAGAAAATTGCAAATTCATTCAGTCGGGAGACTAAAAATCAAAAAGTCTGAGGGCTACGTTCTAATTATTATAATAAAAACCATTATGAATTCATCTTGGTAAGAAAGGTAAAATGAAATATTTGCAGTATTTGAGTTTCCTCCAAAAATTGTAAAGTAATTATGGATATATATATATTACAAAACACATGCAGATTATTAAACGTTTAACTTAAACTTAAATAAGATAATGAACAGCTAAAGAGCTCTCATTTATTGCAGTTGTGGTGTTTAATAACTATGGAGGTTAAGTGCCACTTCCTTTTTGGTTGTTCCTCTCGGTTCGGCCCCCACATCCTTCAAACCCAGTGTCTGTGATCCTTCATTCTAACTCAATCCTACAAGTCATCAAGTTGTAATCTGCTCAGCCAAAATCTGGTGACTGCTCATTTGTGAAACAGAAATAATAGCTCACACCTCAGAATTCAATTAGCGACTGTATATTCAATCACCTACCACTTGAAGTCACTGTGTGAATAAGAGCAATTTGATTCTTCCTTGAGCCAAGTAGTTAGAGTGTATTGTAATGAATACAAAACCAAACACCTGGACAGAGTTTGAGGAAGGAGTAAAGAAGAATGAGCCACCAGCAGTCTGACTTTCTTGGGAAAAGCAGCAGGGGTGGGGTGGGGGTGTTTGGAGATATCCAGGCTATCACACTTGCATATTCACTTTCTTATTCAACTGAGGCCTCAGCCAGAGGGAACTGTGCACAGCACTCACCTCTGTATCTTAGGTACTCACTGCCATTGTCTAAATCAAGCTCCATGACCTGTGCATTGATGAAGTTATGTTTTGGCAATCGTGAAGTCATGCATCCAAATGTCGGAGGCAGTAGCAGTTTCCTTTTACAAAAAGCAGTCAACAAACAAATGCTATTATGCTAAAATTAGACTAGGTTTTGAATGAAAGCAAATTTTCTAACTCTCTGACCTTGGACAGACTGTTTGGCCTTCCAAAGAATCTGTTTCCTCATCTACAAAGTTAAGATGAAAATAATACCTGTCCGGACCAAAGTACAGCAGGTAGGGCCTTGCACGTGGCCAAACCAGGTTTAATACTTGCTGCTACATGTCATCTTCCAGCCCACCAGACCCCTGAGCAAAAAAACAAGAGCAGCACTGAGCACAGCGGCCAAAAAAATATGGCCACCTATGACCACATATGGCCAAAAAATATTTTATTATTATTATTATTATCATTATTATAATACCTGTCACAGTTTTGGTGAAGATTAAAAGATGTCATTTGTATCCAGTCTTTTCTCAGTTGTACAAAACCTTACATCAACCTTTTCCCATCTTGTTCAAGTTTTCAAGCTTGTTCTTCTTCTGGTTCCTTCTCCTACTGGCCCCTGTTTTCAAGTTGTAATTCCCCACTTACATGATATTTCACCTGTGTCCCACATGCAATATTCTGGAGCCCATTTTGCCCCCAGTTGAGAAATACTACTATATAGGATCTCACTCAGTGCCAATAAGTAAAGATTGACAAGGTTAGTTGTTATTATTACTAATATGTTTTTTCAGCCCTCATTAATATTTTCTGTAGGCTAGAACTACCTACTCTTTTTTTTCAGGAAAAAAAAACAAGAAAAAGAAATTTCTCAGTTTTCCTTTGAAAATGTACCTTCTTTGCTTATGCATTTTCTTATTTAACTGAAATTCTCTTTCCAATACCATGTCCCAGTTGTTCTGAAGCTACATTTGTGTGCCCCGCCCCCCTCCACACACCATGTCCAGCACCACTCCATCATTCCAGTATTCATTTTTGGAAACACTGACTCTAAAAGCACTGTCTGTGCTCTCTTTCTGCAAATCTATCAAGTACTATTCTTTGCCAGAGAGCATGCAGTATCAGCTCAGAAGTCATAGCCAAGAAGTGAATCAACAGGACCCTGCCCTCACGGAGCTGAGAGGGATGGACGGATGAGAGGGTAAGTAACAGAACACGTTGATGTCCAGTGGTGGCTACCATCACTATGAAGAAAATCCAGTGGAACAACCAGAGAAAACAGAAAACAAGAAATATTTCTTGGATGCAGTGTATGAGCTATTGAAGGAATTAGCATTTGAGGAATCACCCAAACACCATCTGGGAAGGAAGTTCAAGCAGAGGAAACAGTGGATGTAAAGACTCTGATGAAGGATGTTTCTAGAACAGAAGTCTCCTAATTGGAGCACCATGATTGACGAAGGCATGTCAATTGAATAAAGTCTCAGGTGCATCAGGGTATCATGCAGAACCTGTGAGCAAGACAAATGCACAGGGAAGCCATGGAAGGCTGTAGAAAGGGGAACGCTACAAACCATAACATTTCAGGAGGACTTCATAAATGATCTGTCCCGATCCCCTATTCTATAGATGAGGAAATGAAAGTGGTAGAATCGTGTCTTCCTGTTCCACCACTTCCTGACTTTGGCTATCTGACTCTGATCTCTTACCCCCAAAACACCAAAGTTGCTTTTCCTGGTGTAAAATGCCATCTCTTACTCTGATTTCCGATTCAATGTATTCTTTTTTTTCTTTCCAAATTT